AGAGAGTCTTGGACCCTTGGCCTATGGCTATGGGGTCATTCAGTCACTGCTTCTGATTTGCAGTCTCCCGTTTGACCAAACCTGCATTAATATATCAACAGCAAAAACAGATGTGAGGAAGGCTGAACTTGATGGACACAAGTCTTTTTCAGCTATGTAACTATACGAAACTATGTAACTATAGGTAACTATGTAACTATAGGTAACTATACATAACTATGTAACTATTGGTAACTATGTAACTATACATAACTATGTAACTATAAGTAACCATGTAACTATACATAACTATGTAACTATAGCTAACTATGTAACTATACATAACTATGTAACTATTGGTAACTATGTAACTATACATAACTATGTAACTATAAGTAACCATGTAACTATACATAACTATGTAACTATAGCTAACTATGTAACTATACATAACTATGTAACTATTGGTAACTATGTAACTATACATAACTATGTAACTATAAGTAACCATGTAACTATACATAACTATGTAACTATAGCTAACTATGTAACTATACATAACTATGTAACTATTGGTAACTATGTAACTATACATAACTATGTAACTATAAGTAACCATGTAACTATACATAACTATACATAACTTATGTAACTTTCTCGTAACTATATAACTATCGTAACTGTAACTATAAGGTAACTATAAATAACTATATATAACTATAGGTAACTAAATAACTATGTAACTTGCAAGTCAGGGGCGTACCTAGAGCATTTGGCACCCGGGGCGGATCCTGTGCTTGGCACCCCCACCCAAAAAACAAACAAACAAAAAAAACCTGTAAAAAATGTTAAAGGTTTTATTTCTTTTATTTTTACAATTTGTAAACTTTGCAAAACCGCTGTCAGCCCCTCCTACAAAACCCTTGTCCTGCCCTGCCCCTCCTACAAAACCTCTGTCCTGCCCCTTCTACAAATCCTGTACTGCCCCATCCACAAAACCCCCCCAACCCCCCTTCCACAAATCCCCTGCTTATCCCCCTTGTAAGGGCTCCTGTCCCAATACAAAACCCCACCCCCTTCTACAAAATCCTGCAGCCCCACACACACATTTACAGGCGAACAGTCACACACTCAGTTACAGACACAGTCACACACTCGGTGCTGAACAGACAGTCACACACTCTCAGTTACAGGCAGACAATCACACACAGTCACAGGCAGACAGTCACACATACACATTTCCTCCGTGCGGCCAGTTTATCAGCTGTTTGCTTGAGTGAGCTGTACTGGCCGCACGGCACCCCAACTACCATGGGACAGTGTGCGGCCACAGCTCACACAGCTCCCTCCAGCCAGGGCCGGTACAAGGATTTTTGCAGTCCAAGGCAAAAGTAAAGTTTGCCGCCCCCCACGTGACATCACAATGCCCCAGCCATATGATTTGCCATGTTAACTAACGCCAGTGCTGCAGTGCCGCCGTGTTTACATTAAAAGGCCTGCAGGGACAGGCTATAGACACCAGAACCACTACATTAAGCTGAAGTGGTTCTGGGGACCATAGTGTTTCTTTAATGTGAGGTAAATTAGAGCTTAGTGCCACGAATAATATACTAGATTGCCTACTTACAACCAGATGAGGATGATGATGGGCTCTAGCTGCAGTCTGGCTCACTGGTCTGGTGCAGAACAAGCTCTCTGGAAGCGGTTTGTAACTGTGGTCACAAAATCAATGTTCTGGGGAGAACGGGAAGCAGCTCCATTTTTGGGGTCCGCTTTACAGCTCAAGGTCTGGGTCCCAGGGTCCACCTTCATATTCCACCAATGAGTTTGTTCACAGGGGGTGGAGTGTGTAGGGATGTCCTGATATGTGTGTAAGGAATGCATTGTGTGAAATTGTGTTTGTATGTGTAAGGGCTGCAAGGTGTGTTTCTGTGTATGTATGGGATGCATTGAATGTGTGTAAGGGGTGCATTGAGAGTGTGTAATGAATGCATTGTGTGTTTCTTTGTGTGTAAGGGATGCATTGTGTGTAACGGTTGCATTGCTTGTGTATGTGTGTCTGTGTGTGTAATGCATTGTGTGTTTTTCTGTGTGCAAGGGGTGCTTTGTGTGTATGTGATGAATGTCAATCTCTCCTCCCGCTCCAATTTCCTTCTCCTCCTCCCAATTTCTCTTTCTCACCCCCCTCCTAATTTCTCTCTTACCCCCGCTCCTATTTTCTCTCACCCCCTCCTTTCTCTCTCACCCACCTTCTTTTTCTTTCTCACCCACCCCCCCTTTTCTCTCTCTCACCCCCCCTTATTTCTCTTTCTCACCCCTTATTTCTCTTTCTCACCCCCCCTCCACTTGCTGTTTCTCTTTCTCCCTTATTTTCTCTCTCACCCCCCCCTTGTTTCTCTTTCTCACCTCCCCCCTTATTTCTCTTTCTCCACCCCTTATTTCTCTCCCTCACCCCTATTTCTCTTTCTCACCCCTTATTTCTCTCTCACCCCTTATTTCTCTTTTCTCACCTCCCCCTTGTTTCTCTTTCTCACCCCCCTTATTTCTCTCTCACCCCCTATTTCTCTTTCTCACCCCTTATTTCTCTATACCCCCTTGTTCTCTCTCACCCCCATTTCTCTCTCACCCCACTTATCTCTCTTTCTCACCCCCTCTTACATTTCTCTCACCCCCCTCTCCTGCCCCCCTTATTATTTCTCTTTCTCAGGTCTCACCCCTCTCTCCACCCCCTTCTTTCTCCCCCTCCCCCCTACCTCCCTGTAGCGTGGCCGAGCCCTGTATAGTCCGCGGGTACAGGGAGCTTTTGTTTCCTGTACCCGGCTGGACTAACAGGAAGTGCACACTCAGTGTGCACTTCCTGTTAGTCCGGCCGGGTACAGGAGACAGCTGCTCTCTGTACCCGTCGGACCATGCTGCAGTGAGGGAGCTGACAGGAGCGCTCCCTCCTGTCATCCTCTCCTCAGGCTGCGCCCGGGCGGTGCGGTCCGCCCTCATGGACGCACCGCCCGGGCAAAGCTGCAGCCGCCTGAGGCTCTTCACAGAGCGCTCGGGCGGCTGCAGCATGGGGGGGACCGGGGGGCTGGTCATGGCACCCCCCACCCGGCTGGCACCCGGGGCGGACCGCCCCCCCGCCCCCCCCTTAGTACGCCACTGCTGGCAGACACCACAATTACCGAACCGGAGAAGCGTATACCTTCTCTCAAGCATATGAATGCTATAAACAGCTGAATAGGCCAAAAACCATACGGAGGGGTTTGGACTCCTAGCAGTCAAACTGGAACAGCATACAATAAATCCTCCCCCAATAATGAGACAACACTTCACTTTGAGGGTTAAGCAGGAACACCTGTGCTGGCACACCCAGCCTGGTTTTTATTACAGCCTTTCACATACAGGACCGCCCACAGGGAGGTATAAAACAACCAATCACATATCAGTTACATCCCACATATTCCCTCCCCTTATCCTGAGAGGAAACTCAATTACACATACAGTTAAAACATACTTTCTACCCAACTTTCATAACTTTAAAACCATACATCACATTCACATAAAATTACATATTCACAATCAATCCATTCAGGGGAACAACATATTAAAAAATGGCATGAATCCGACCAGGGGTTCAAAAGTTAGTAAAAGTATCTTTTGGGCCCTGGCTGGCACATGGCTATCTGGCTCAAACAGGTTTTACAGAGCCCTCTATCCTGGAGACAATGGGGGAAAGTAATCCAATTATCCAGGGATAGAGGCAGACTCCATTGAGCACATGGTTGCAAAAAGACATAAAACACTTTAAAATACATAAAGTCACCTTTTACACATAACACACAGACATTTCACATATCCCCAGATAGCTGGGATCTGAGCGCACAAAACTACCGAATAGCGCT